CTCCATAAAGCCATCATAACAACAGTTTGGGTGTTAACTACAACACTATATTACTGATAAAAATGTGAGAATAATAAAAAAATAAACTGCATTTTCCACAAACAAAGTTACTGCTATAAATAAAAGATACAACATTTTTAGTTACTGAAGATAATTCTTAGAATAAACCACATGTGTGTCAACGGCTTCAATTGAGAAAAAAGAAAACACATTGTTAAATTATCTTAAGAAATTAATTTCATTGCATTTTTACTTTCACCCAATTCCAGTATATCTAGATAACTTTTATTAAAACAAATAATGTCTGGAACTTTGAATTAAAAGATATTGTTCGATTTATAGATAACCTTAAATTATGTGGGTTAGCTTAACGAATACTCTCCAAGAATAGAACAATAGATATCTTAAGCCGCAGTGTACCATTGTCTCTACTAGTAAAAATATGTAGATCTATAGATAACTATAATTACTTATGTGGATAAGTGATTTGATATAGTCATAGATTTCAATATAGAACAAATGATAGGCTTGTCTTTCACTTCCGATGCAGTTATATACTACCTTCATTCCGCTTTCATTCTATGTTAATAGAAAATAACTAAATAATTTCATCTCTATTTATATCAAAAAAATTAGATATTTTTTTATAGAAGTAATATTGTTAGCCTCCAATTTTTTAACCGCTAACGTTTTTGCTACTAACTACTGCAATAAGTTATTTTAAAACCCTTATCGCACCAAATGTATTTACCTTCTGCTGCAAAAGTATCCGGATTTTGTTGTTTCTTAACTACTCCTTAAGTAATAGACCTTTTTTGTTAGGTTGGTACACGCTTTCTTGACATATGGTACAAATTTGAGCGCCATCTGTCAATTACTTTGTTTACAGCAGCTGCTAATGTGTGACTATCTCAAGTGCATTTAGCAATTTTTACTATGGAAAATTCTTGTTGTAGGCGATTTTTTGACCAAACACGGCATCACTATCATCGCTCAGGCACCATATTCGCCAGATCTGGACCCGTGCGACTTTTTCCTGTTGCCGAAATTCAAATCGATAAAAGAGAATTCGCTGAAGGAACTAGAAGCCATACCTTCACGGGCCTACGAAAAGTGTACGGAAGATTGGGTTAAGCGTTGGCATATGTGTATCGCTTCAGAAGGAGCATATTTTGCAGGAGATGAAATAAATTTAGAATAAAATTTAAATTTGTGTATTTTATTTACAAAATTCGAGTACTTTTTGAGCAGAAGGTACGTTATTAAGAAAGTAAGAAGAAGAAAGTATTTTAAAAACAAAAGGACCAATCAATTTTTTAGTAAGCCCAGTGTAAAAGAAATTTACCTGCAAATGATTTAGATTTTATGAATATCAGAAATCGCTAAGTTACTCTTGGTATAATACAATTTGTATTATTTTTGAACTATCTAAACTCTTTCAACCGGACACAGAGCATAATATATATTCGTAGAAAAATTTGCATTCCCTATATAATAGTTTTTACACTTTATGCTTGCATAAAGTATACGATAATGTCATATCAACATACCAGCGCACCCCTCTCTCCCTTAATTTCGGCTCTGGGTACGCCCATGATCATTTGTATCTTAAGAAGATTTTTCCTTCAACTTCGATAACAAAAAAAAAAATTATTATTTACACATATAAGACTACTACAATTTTAGAGAAGTCAAAAAATGTGTACTAGGTTGATTTGTTTCTAAAGAATAACTATGGTATTTAACCCAATTTAAAATCTACAATTTTCTTAATACCCTTATACGCTTAATATTACTATTAATATTTTAAATATTATAATATATACTTAACATTTCTTGCCGTCCTTTTATTTGTCTAGCTGTATTTTACTGACATACTTTTAATTATAATTCTCCACTATTTATTCAATTTTTGACACACATTTCCTGGTCCCCTTCTTGATTCCAATCCATTTCTAAAGCTATTATTTGATTATATTTTGTTTTGATTGCTCTCATTGTAAGCACATCTTTATCCTGCCAACAGACCACACAATGGCAATGCATTGACCGCGTTAATGTGCATTCCATTATTTGAGAATCAACACCCTTTACTTTCGAAACTATTTCCAACCATTGTTTAAGATCCATGGAATGTCGCAGCCGTACAACCGATCGATCAATCAATCATGCCAAGTAGAACAAACAAGCGTCAACTCTGCGGTTTGCACCCGTTCAATGTATCTCAAATCAGAAAATAATAATTTTTTTTTTTGACTTTCTTGATATTTTCATTAAAGAGCGTCTCTTAATATGTCGCTCAGTGGGTCTCTGTGTTTGTTCTTTCGTTTGTCATAATAAAATTTATGACATGTCACATTGCCGTCAGACTGTCAGTCATTCCTTCACTCCTGCCAATAGTTCATTCCTTCATTCGTACGAGAATAGTACTCTGTTCTGTTACTTGCGTAACCGAAGAAAAATTAAAAGAAAAAAATAATGTACCATAAATTATTGTTTACATTTAGCGCCGGCAAAGACGGTATGGACGATATGGACGATATGGACGCTTCGCTTAACGAACGGTGGCAGCAGGTGGCAATAAGCCAAGTACCAACAAACTAAGGATCTACTGTGTTTACTTTGGAGGAACATTTCAATTTAAATGTCTTATTTGTTGCATGAAGATTATATACATTTTTTTTATTTTTATTGAAAATAGTAAAAAAATAATATTTTTTTTTCTTTCTTTTTTTTTTTCTTTGGTCATAAATTCATCAGTGTCGGTGCCTTTTTACTGCGAAGGTAACGAGCGGTCAACAACTGCGGTTTACACAAATGTCGATTTTTGAAAGAGGAATTTTATTTGTAAATAAAATAGATTTGAACTATCCTGTCATGTGATATGTTTACATTTGCATAGTAAGTGGATTTAGAAGAAGCTCTCGTAAATATGTCACTGTCATATCAAACAAAAAGTATCATTTGCTTAAAGACGCAATTTAGTTTGATAAATATTATTGAGAAAAATTTTTTTAAATATTTACAATTAAAATTTTGAATCATTATCTGACAAAGAAAAACTCAGGGCTGATAAAGAACCTAATAAATTTTTGAAGTAGTTTGGTTTGTACATTGTGAACTATATAATCGGCAAAGTCTCATGATTTGTGTCAAAAATTGAAGTCTTCGAGAAATTTCACCAAAAAAAGCTATTCTTATTACTAGCAGAGGATATCCTTAGTATTATTATAAACTGTTAAATGACAAAAACTAAAGTTAGGCTATAAAATTTAAAAAAAGTAGACGAAGGAATCAAGCTTTCATCAATTGAGTACATTAAAAACACGTTACATATATAGATATACATATATATACATAGAAAAAATAAAAATCACTCTCCACAGACACTGGAGACCTTTGAAGATCGATTGAAGATATCAACATTTTTGTATAGTCAATAGAAAAAATGAAAATCGCTTTCCACAGGTACTGCACACCTACAAAGACTTAAAAAAATACCGTAAGAATCTTTCGAGAATATGGTGATTTGGAAAGATAGTACTCCAGAAAGGTAATATATATGCGCGGTGACAAAAAAAACGTTATAGAAAGTTAGTTGATAAGACTAAACCCCGCCCTGGGACTTACAAAAGCTTAAACAAATACCATAAGAATCTTTCGAGAATATGGTAAATTGATAACGCTAAAACTGATGTGGAAACATGGTATTCCAGAGATGATATATAATTGCGCAGTGACAAAGAAGACTTGAAAAAACTTAGTCGACAAGACTATAAACCACCGTGAAACGTACAAAGACCTAAACAAACACCATAAGAATCTTTCAAAAATAAGATAAATTGATAACGTCAAAGGTGATTTAAAATGATGGTTTTCCAGAGAGGTGTGTGTGTGTGTGTGTGTGTGTGTGTGATATAATTGCGCGGTGACAAAGAAGAGTTGTAAAAACAATAATATGTTATAATAGTATATAATAATATAATATAGATGTCACACGAGTTAACGCAAAAAGTCTGTATGGACCGAATTTTCATCTACGAATTGCTGCTGAATTGCAACTAAATGGACACGCAACCCATTTCTGAAGCGGTTGATGACTTGTAACGAAAAGTGATTGGTGAACACTGACTACAACGTCAAGTGATCCACACAAATTGACGTGATCGAATCGCGGTGAACCGGTTGGAGCGTCTGAAAGAAACAATCGCCCTGCAACAGTAAGCTTTAGGCAATAGAAGACGAATTGTGTTACATCAAGACAACGTCAGACCACATACATAGATAATGCCTCGCCAAAAGCTCCAGAAGCTTGATTGGTAAGTTCTTATGCATCCACCTTAAAGTCTAGAACTGGCACCAACTATTCACAATTTGTTCCTGTCCATAGCGTACGATGAACGATTTTTGTAGTGAAAAACTCGCTTTAAGAGAAGCATGTGATAATCAACTGTCCCAATATTTTGCTAACAATGGACTACGAATTCTATAAGAGAGGCATTAAGAAACCACTTTGGCAACAAGTTATTAAACCAAACGCCGGATTTTTTTTAACTACACAAATTATATATGTATATATTAATTAATATATATAATTATTAATATATATAGAGGTTAATACAGTAAACTCAATATGTTACGACAGATATATTGTGAAAGCCTTTCGTATGTGCGATTTAATAAAACCGGTTTGGACACATTTGTCTTTTAAATTTGATCATTCGGTGTTGAGGGAGTTTATTACATCAGATACTCGTTAAATCGTGAGCCTGCTGTATTTCATAACTATAAATCCATTTTCTGCCATTTTCAAAACCTATAAACACCTCACCAATTGCATACATATAACACATTATATATATATATATAATATATTATTTCTTGTTTTGCTAGTTTGCATAGGTGCATAAATGTCATTTAGTTGTCAATGAATTTTCTGTCAAAATCTATTTGAAAATTCTGACAGAAATTTTTATCTTATATTATATTTGAAGTAAAATTAATGAACAGAACGCTTCAAAAATTCTGCAAAATTTAAGGTTATCCGATAGTCAGCAAAATTCTTTGTGTTTGGGTTTTTCTGATAGAAAATGAAAATCTATTTCAGGAAATTTCATAGATCGGATCCCTACTTGGAGTGGATAATATTAGCTTCGCTTGGAGTTATACTACACATACTGAATATCCAAATAACAGATTTATGTTTTCCAAGTAAATATTTGTTTCGGAACACCTACACCTGCACGATGGTATGCTGTTCTTTGTTGATGTTAAGCTGTTTGCATGTCAGGTTACCGGATAATATTCCGAAACCCATCAAAATCTACACACGGATCTCTAAATACTTTGTGTTCTTGATAATATCTGAATTCTTTTTAAAAGTCATGACAATCCCAGCTTTTATGTTTGCAAAATTTATATTAGTAAACCTGTCGTTCGAAGTGGTTTTAAATTTTATAAGGAAATACTTCATATTCCGATGGATTTTTAACTTGATCAATTTTACCATTATGTTTATTATCAATAGCTATGTTTTGCTTCTCGCTTACCAATCCATTGGATTGAAAAGAATATTAGAAAGCAATTTCATCCGTTACGTTAAGTGCAAGGCTCTATTGAGTAGAAAGCCTACGGATTCTTTTTGGTATGTGATTTTGGAATTTCTGGATATAGATCTATTTGCCAAACCACCAAATTTAAATCATGCCGATCCAGTAACTCGATGCATAATATTAAAGGCATTTAGAATACACCGACGTAGACTAAATAATCGTCGAATTCGTTCTACAGATTTCTTCAGGGACTAAACCAAATTGGTAAGTATTTATATTAAATAATGTAATTATTAAATATTTAATTACTTACTTACTTACTTACTTAAAAGTCTATAATAATATTTTTAAAACCAGTCCAAACTTCTATGAAAGTCTAACTATAATATTTGATTATTAAAAGTAGATATATATGTGTCTTTTAATGGATTTTTATGTTGTTATTCTCCCAAATATATTCAACAAGAAACGTATATAAGTAAATATTTGGTTCCATTAAATAAAGATTGACTTCTTATAATTTCGAAACGATAACACTTTTGAAACGTCTAAAACTGCTTTGAATTTGTTAACATCTTTTGATATCCTAATATGTAGTCACTTTTTCTTGTTAATCCTATCTAACATTATCTAAATTTTCATCAATTTCTATTTTCCGTCTTGGTGCCTTAAGATATGAATATTATTCTACTGAGTTAAAAAATTCAATAATCGATAGTATTGATATTAGGAGAGACAATGAAGGGACTGAGAAATGAAAACTGAGACCTTTAGGCACTGCGATCAGCTCAATCTATTGCACATCCCATTGTATTTAGAAATTTAGTATATCGAGGAAACGAACTGGCTCCTTCGGAGGGAGCTTTTGAAGGTCTCCAGTGTCTAATTGGTTTGCATCTAAAATGATTGGTCTTCTAGCCTAGTGCACCACAGTTGGTGATCAGATTTACCACAGACTCTACCTCATAACAGCAGAATCTGCAAATATTTGTGTTAGATATACCGATTTTGTGTAGGTGCTTATTGAAGGTCGCGTGGCCTGTTAGTGCACCAGAGTGTGACTTTAGACTCTTCTTGTTAAGATTGAGAGCGATGTTTGATCTTTTGAAGAGACATAAGATCTCTGCCATCTATGAGATCGATTTTCTTGTACGAACAGATAAATTCTAATTTGGATTTCATAAAACTGTTTAGTGTCAACATTGTTTCATTATATTTTTTGAAATTAATAGTTATCCATATCAATGGATCATGTCCACATAAAAACCATGATTATTTAAAATTCTGACATTACCATATTTATAATTATAATATTTATTCCATACTTATGATATTTATAATTGATTTATTATTAATAAATTAACGTTAAACTTATATTAAAGCAAACCCAAAGTTTTAGATATTTAAAAAAGCAATTAGAAGAAACTTAGAAATTGAAAAATGGAAACATGGGTAACAGGAATAGATTTTATGTTGGTGAAGGAGATGTCAGTTGACTGAAATTACAAGTCCTTGACTATTGGTTCTTTTTTTATTCATAGAGAAGTTATTACAAGGTAAGGCCCTTAAATACTATATTCACGAGTACAATTTTTTTTGACTATTTTACAGATGATGATGACAAGATAAAACATCTAAAAATCTACAATTTATAGGATTCAATAGTGTTGTATCGGCTTTAAGATAGTTTTGACGAATCTTGGAAGTTGGAATCTTGTGATAACCTTAGTTAGAATCGAAAAACCTGTACCAGTACTTTTTTTAATCACTTAAACATAATTGTATTATTATAATGTAGGAAAAATTTAATTTTAAAAATAAAGTAAGTAAAGCATTAATTACATGTATTTAATTTATTTTATTATTAACATATTAATAACAGATAGTTAATTTCTTATGTGCGACGATATTAATGAAAAGTACAATCACTAATTGTAAACCCAAAACTGGATAAGAATTATAAGCATATTTCTAACCGTTATTTTTAGACAATCCTGATTATATTTATAAAGGATATTGCTAGTATATGTAGTGATGTCTCCAAATAATCCCGCATAATTTTCAATAGAACCAAATTCAAGTCTAATGTTCTATATAAAACTACAGCTTAACAAAAAATTAATTTTTGGAAAGAGAAGAACCATCTTTTTCATTATTTATAACGACTCATCGAGTAATCAACACATTTTTTGTTACTTAGACCAAATGATTACCAATTATTATTATTATGGTAATGACAATCGTGGATATGGAACATTTTCAATTTGACATCATTAGGATGTGTAATATCATAGACATCTCTCCTGAATTAATTTTTTTTAATTATCGACCCCATTTAGTCTCTCGTCTAAAAATATCTGCTCTTACTTTCTCATGATCTAACAAGTATGTAAGAGATAAGATGACTAACCATAATGGATTGTGTGATAAAAGTCGAACAAGTGTCAGAAAATCATTCTAAAATATCTTCATAATTCATAACATAAGGAACTAACAGAAGAAATTGAAAAATAGTACTCAAACGTCAATGGAGGCCCTTGCATTAAACCCTCAAACGACCAGACCTCTCGCAGACTCGACAACTCTCACGTTACATTACTTATTTACAAAAGTTCTCTTGTCCTTGTGAAGTACACACTACATGGTTCGTAAAAAGAAATTTGGCATAACAAAAGGAATGATTTTTATTTTTGGTCTATGCTGGTCATACGAATCAGAGAAATAATAATAACTGTGGTTCCTACTACTTAATTGATCTTACACTCGAATTTGTGAAAATCAAGAACAGGCGAAGAAATTTGCAATCAATAGGTCACACACTTCGTAAATAAAGTAGAATGGATGTCTCTTAAATTGAACTCATAATGATTTATTAGATTTTATAGAGGCCAACAACATATTAATTTGATGATAATTTATTTACGCAGAATATCAGCAGTTTGGATCATAGTTAGGCCCAATCCTCTATGTTAAATATTATGCATTTGTTAGATCAGTGTTAAATATTTTTTCCGCGGGGTTTTTCTTAAAAAGAGTGGTGTTATAGCTAAATAGTATTTTACTTTTACCAGGACCGGCGACTAGTGTAGTTAATTCCTGAAAATAGAATTCTCGTAAGTAGTTAACTTTTTGTCTAAAAAGAATTATACAGCATTCTTAGATGGGATACAGTAGTTCAATAATGGACGCAGTATAACGAATACTGGGCTTACATTGGAGCGTACCAAATAAAACACAAATACATTCTAGTATACTTTCGTTTCTTCGTTTCTTTCACGATCTACAAACACTTCTACTAAAGGCACTCAATCCAATCCGTCAAATTACGGAAGTGTTGTGACAGACAAAAGCAGATTGAAAATACACCTTATTAAACTAAGATGGGTTTTTGCTCTTCTATACCATATTTTTGACTAAACTTAGCTCGATATTCAAAAGATTTGTATTATCTGCCAGTCTTTCCCTGCTTTTGCAGTTGTTTTTTGTCTAATAAGACTTTCAGAGAAAGGTCAGTAATCATCTAAGTTTTTAAATATTTTCACAGAAAACTTTCTCTATATAACATAATAACTACTTTCTCGCCATAATTCATATTTTTGAGAAGTTATTATATGGCGCATAGGGTATATAAAATGTTTCAAACTCGATAGAAAAATAGATTATTTCTGAAACATAATAATAAAAATAAACAAAAACTTTTCGGATATTAAAGTAAAACTGCAACCCAACATCCTTAAATAATTTCACTGCAACGCTGCATAGTTTGCCACTTCCTGTTTCATCCTTCCCAACCCTTTCCTTTCCAGTAAAGTTTTAAGCGCATTCTGACTTTTAATGTTTATTGAATTTTATTTCATTATTGTTTAAAATTTGTTTTAAAAAAATATGTTCACGAAAAGTATAAAATTTTTTATTCAGTTTTTTATGGTTTTCAACAAAAATTAACAAAGCTAACTTTGCTAATTTTATTTTGCATAAATTCTGCAAAAAATAAATTTTTCCACAATTATTTATTTATTTCATTTTATTTGAATTAAATAAATTAAATGATTAAAGAATTAATGGATTAAACAAAATTGAAAGGCTTAACTCAAAATAGAAACAACTAAATAAACATTATAGATTCTCTGGGTACCGGGACATACTGGCATACGCGGAAACGAATATGGAGACAAAGTAGTCAGGTAGCAAACAGCCACACCGATAATGGGTTTGAAATCTTTCTGTGAATTAAGACATAGTACCCTCCTTTCTGCGAAGAGAAGGAAGAGTCAACCACACATCTGGTATTAGAATGCAAAGAGGCAATAAAACTTTGTAAAATAAGTTCTATACTACTTTGTATTGACGCAACAGGGCTTAGAAACCTACAATAAACACATAAGGTGGCACAATAAATCCTATAGTCGCAGTGCCACATTCCTAAAAAATAATAATAACTCTAATACAATTCACAGAGATAAATCCTAAATGATGAACACAAATGTCAGTCAGTCACAAGAAGACTCAGCTTATTTAAGCCTTTTATGTGGGTTCAATTTGAAGCCAGACACTAACTGATTCAAAGGGGCTCAATTTCCGATCAATTTCCGACGAGTTGGTCATTTAATGGAATACGTATTAACTATAAAAGTAGCCTTGCATTATTAAAATGTCAATATCATTCCATGACTAGTAAGGCAGGTTATTTAATCTACCATATCTCCATACGATATCCACTATGTTTACTTATATTAATGCTCAACTGTAGCTATGGAAGAATATATAGTAACAACCAAATTATACCATAATTAATAACACTAATGTTAAATTAGTATTAATTACTCTATTATTACGTTATTCTAGAGTCATATTATATGTACAATATAATGGATGTTTTTTTAGCTGCATGAGAACTGTTGATATCGATAACTATGGTTTGAAAGCTAAGAATGTCAAACGGCGTTGACATTTCTATTCAGTAAGATTTGGCAATCCATCATGAATTTTTTAATGGTAGAACAACACTTCCCAATAGTGGAAATTTACTTTTAAAAAAATAAATCTGTTCGCGAAGTTCATATCGTCAATAAGCAAAATTGCCATATATGCAGCAAAATTGAGATAATGCTCAAGCCGTTAACGAATCACCATTACATCCATTTAAATTGAAATTTTGGTGCGGTCTTTACTTCTTTCGAGGAAGAATCTAGCGTTACGGCGAATAGCGAGCGCTATCAAACCATGATGACTGAATTTTTGTCACCATTTTCCAAAACTTAATTAATTAATTAATTAAGCATTGACGACATAAGGTTCCAACAAGACGGCGCAACTTGCTATACAGCGTGATTAACAATCGATTTATTGCAAAATAAATTTGATTACTTTATTTCGAAAAGTTGGGCCTCTCGTTCGTGCGATTTAACGCCTCTTGATTACTTTTTATGGAGCTATATAAAATCATTGAGGCCCTATGCTTCACAGAGGGATAAGGATGACAGAAGAAGAAGATTAACATCTTCTCATTGGCTTATACCGACAAACGACAAACCAGCAACACTTGAAGCATTGGAAACTAATGTTCATGCCACCATTGACGCTATACATCCACATTTATTGCAAAAAAAAAACAAAAATTGGACTGATTAGCCACGGCGGGCATATTCTTAGCCGAAAATCATATTCAAAAAAAAAAATGCCATGAAATTAACTAACAGATTATTATTATTATGTTGAGGCTAGTTGAGTCAGTGAACTTGAGCACTTTTACTCTCTATTATCTGCAAGGTTTCTTCATAACCCCACTCTACGCCTTGACTGCATTATTGTTTATCACTTCAGATTATAATAAATAAATTTTATTCCAATAATATTTTTGTCTTGTTTTATCATTTTAAGTTCTCATGCATAAATAAAAAAACATCCAATACACATACCTCTGGCACTTGTTTATAATTATACTAAAAACATGTTACATGAATGTTATGTTCATGTTACAGTAACTAATTGCTATGTACACATTTATGGCTGATGTAAAATAATGTTGAACTCAAATTAGATTAATGTTAGTGTAATGTTAAAATTATTCTACGCTACCAGCATTAACAATCGCCACATAATAGCGTTTGCCAAAGAATAATAACTTCTTACTGGTCTTGATTATTGTTAAGTGGAGATTCTGTAAAGCTTCACCGTCTCTCTCTCTCTTCCTCTTTTGGTATTATTTCAATTTATTCCACAGCAAACTTCATTTAGAAATCACTTACTTTTACATACATATGTATGTACTTGTTTATAAACATCTTTAAGTAATGTTAAATCAATGTTGCGGTTGTGTTGTGCACACTTATGCTCACATATGCATTAACATTACGTTTGAAATAATTTAAATCGAATGTTAAAAGAATTTTAAGTCATGTTAATATATGTCTTTGATTACAGTGCACTAACTTCACATTAGTTTAAATAATGTTAAGGTATTTTCCAAATCTCTTCTGTTAAATTATTCGCTTAACAGTATATTATTTTAAGCATTTATTTTCATTAATTTATTTTGCAAAATATGAAACTAAGTGCAATAAATCTCTTGCATGCAGTCAATAATAATAACAATAAGTCAATCAATCAATAAATAAAAAATTAAAGCAAAATCATACTGAACCGAAGAAATATTGGCGGAATTATTTACATCTATAAAACTCTTCTTCTTATTTAAACTTAAAACTCTGTCGATATACCATGTCCTATGGTAACTAATGTCGCATTAATACTCATTATATATATTTTCAATATATAGCAATAACGCTGTTTATTTATAGCGTTAATTAAAATCTTATATT